TTTATTATTCGCATAGTTTCGGTGACTTTAAACTATTATTTATTAATTTTGATGGCCAATTCTGTAATCGCTAAAAAAATAAAAGTTCTGTTTAAGATTCTTACATTACCCAGCATTATCTTCTCACATTTTCAGCTACAAATTATCAGTTATTTAGAAAATCAAATAATGAAACAAAGTTTAGCTTTAAGAGTAAGACTGAGCAAATAAGCTACGCTGTGTAATGTTTATTTAAACCCAAATACTATATGAACACGAGGATTTCTGTTTAAATTAATGTTTGCGTTGGCTTTAAAACCTCAGCAACGTAGAAAGGTTTTATCCTACAATTACAAAAATGACTTGTGAGTGAAATCGCGACATGCTGATACATATTTTAGTTATCATTAACCCAAAAGTTGCTAGAAGACAAAATTTTGTAGTAAAGTAATGTAAAGAGGGCATGATTTCATTTTTTTAAAATCAGTTTTAAATTTTTTAATGCTAAAAATATTAATAGTTTAACAGCATTTTTTTGAGAGTTTAAACAGAGTTTAAACAGCATTTTTTTGAAGCTATACATTTTGCAAAATCCAACATAATTAGGGCGACATATTGCAGTTAAACGATTATTGCAGAATTAAAGCACTTACCATTAAACATTTTTATTCGTATGAAAGTTACAATGACACTGTTTTATATTATTTTAATGCTACAGGATGTCGATATACTTTTTATTATATTAAAATTCAAAATTACGCACTAAATTCGACAAATTTGAAAAAAATAAAAGATTATATATGTTTCTCAGAACTCATTTTTTGTTTTATTATTGATTCAGTTTAAGCTAAAATAACTATATAACTATATTACAAAATGAGTAAAAGAAAATTATTTTGGTATAGTTTGATACAGTTTTGAGAACATTGTAAAAACCTTAAAATTTGCACTTTTAGTCCCGTAAAGTTTTAAGAATAACTTTTTATAAGAACTTGTGAATCGAAGGAAATTTAACTTTTAAGCGATAGATACTGCTGTTAGGTACGATCGGAAAAACGAAGTGGTTTTACGATTGAATCGGTGTTAGCAGAGAACGTCAAGAGTTATACCTCTATATTCTTTACGAAATTCTCATTTCGTAATAACAATCGAATTGAAAACATCTGAATTTAAAAATCCACGTGGAAAAGATCGATTAAACGATTGTAAATCCAGACCCTAAAGGTTGGCAACACACTGAGGCAACATGCGGTAAAGATGCAACACATATACACGAAAAGCTAGCCTTTCACAATAGAATAGCCACGCGCAGAAGCTGAAGCGCAACATAGATTCATGCGACAACAAAGCGGCACGTGGTATCTTTGTGTTATTTTTTTCCGGTGTCGCATCAGTGTTGAGTGTTTTATTAAGCTTATAGCCAGATATTCAAAATTTAAGACCATCTCAGAGATGCCAACTTGCTCCGGACGGCGAATAAATATTTTCGAGTGGTAGTTTATTAATTGTGATTCTTGGTTTAATAAGTTCAATTTATTAGGCTTTTATCCACCACTATTTCTTAATAATTCAAAAGATTATACAATTCGCCACTTTGTTATTGTGAAGTTATGCTAAACCTTTTAAAAAGCAAGCAAAATTAATCAAATATTTGCAAATTTTAGTTGTAGCTATTTACCGTTTTTTAAATTATTTTGGTGTGTCCGGAGCAGTTGGCATCTCTGCCATCTATGCAGAGGCGATGTTAAGCAGATTTGCTTAGGTGCTAATAAATATGCTGATGAAAACTAATAATTTGTGATATTTTAATATTAGTTGTACTATTTGTTTATTCACAGAAGAGTTTTTTTATTAAATAATAGGGGCTGTTTGTGTTCTAGAGAAACAGTTCTCTTTACATTTATTACTGATAAAAAAATTTTTATAATGACTAATTAGCTAAAGATTTGAATAACTGAGTAGTGCATTTATAAGAAATTTAAATACCGGCATTTTATTATACATTTCAGAAGAAAGAATTTCCTTTTCTATACTTTTTTTCTCATACAAAATTACATGCGTTCGAAAATTACATGCATGTAATTATTAAATCTTTAATATGTAATTTTGCAATAGAATGACATGCTTAAGTTATGATTTTGATATGAAAGTCAATGCAAATTATGTAAATTGTTGGTCTTTATATAAATGTTTACTAATCTGAAGCACAGTTATCAACTCTTATATAAGAGATTAAGCATTACCACAAAATTAAATTTAATTTTTGATTTTTTTTTTGTCCCAACGGAAGCTTACCTTTATTTTCCATGAAACTAATAATTGTAAAAAGTAAGTCAATACAGAAAACTACTTAAACCTGCACATGCTTTGAGCTATTTCTTATTATATATTTCCAACATATATTTATTTTGACTTATCTATTTGGATCGCTATCGAAAAAATGGCATTGCTAAAAGAAATAAGATGGTATAAGAATTTTTTAAAAATAATAATAATTCTTTTCTACTGAAACTAATTTTATTTTCTAAAAACATTTCAATTTTGTACCTAAGTTGGCAATGGAAATAAGAAAGATATGTTTTTTCTTGTTAGATTTTAAGAAGATAAGATTTTTGAAAAAGGAATTTTTTCTGATAAACTTAATTTTTTTAAAAAATATTTGTTGCTTCTACTTAAAATCTGGGTTCGCATGCATTTGGAAAATTTTAAACAGTGGTAGTAATATTATGAAATCGTAGTTTATTATGTCGCAATTACCATAATAATTTATCAATTCCTTACGTAAATATATCTAGATCAGTAAAACTATGTAATTAAATGTCTCGCGTAATAGTATGTAACTGCATAAATGTATGTAATTAAAATATTGAATACAAAATAACTGTTTAAAATTCATAAACAATATTAAGAATTAAGAACTATTGTTAAATGATCTCTTCTAGAGAAAAAATATTAAACGAGTTTTTATTATAAGTAAAAATTTTAAAAACAAGTTTGTTAAAGAAGTTTCAATTTTAACCGATCAAAATGTTGTCCTAATCAAATTGGGAAGGCAGTCCAAACTTGTATTAATTCTAGAAGCAAATATATGTTTGCAATATGGCATATGTCATCTTGGTCCGGACAACGGATAAATATATTCGACTGTTAGTTTACTTATGGATGATTCCTGGTTTAAGCAATTTTACTCGGTTTATAGCAATTTTATTTACAGCTACTTCTAAAAAATTCGAAGTCTTATGTGATAAATCACTTTGCTACAATTAAGCTGGAAGCCTCCCTGGGAGCGGTATCGCCTACCTAACGCTGTGCAAAGCGTGAAGGTAGCGGGTTCGAATACCGCTGTTACCCTGGATGCATAATCTTTGTGCTGTCCTTCTATTTATCAAAGGTTTATAAACCTAAAGTGAGCGCACAAGCCTGCAAAAGTGTGTAATTGCAATAAACAATAAAAATACAATTAAGCTTACTTAACCTCTTTTAAAAAAGGTCAAAATCATGCCAAAATTAAAAAATTTTAGTTTGTAGTTCTCTACCATTTTTTAAAATATTTCATCAAATCCAGAGGTGTTGGTACCTTTGTAAAAAATATAAAAAGTAAAAAAATTGATGTTTTTTTAAAAAAATATTTGATTGGGAAATGTATTTCAAAAAACAAAAAAATGACGAAGCAATTATGGATAATATTATTAATTTTTATGTAAAAATTAATGTGCAGTTATAGTTCATTTCCGTCGCACTAGAGCTCCATTAGAAATTTAATGTGTAAGACAACAGAAATATATTGAACTTTTTTGTGTTTATAATATCAATGTTTATCTTGCTAATAATATCTTAGAATAAATGAAACGCATGGAATATTTTTGTTTTCATCTTATTTCGCATTAGCTTTAATTTTGTGCGTATTATTTTAAACTGTTATTTTTAAAATACGATTATTAAATTCTATTTTTAAAGCATCATATGACATTAATTCTGATATTCAGGGACATTTCAAAACGTTTTGGCTCAACCTTATTCCTTATACCATATTGATTAAGAATCTAAAGATTGGTTCTTCGTCGTAAAAACAACAAAATATCTTTATTTATCTCGTATGTCTTAACCTTGAAAAAATATCTCACGAAAGTGGAATCTAGAAACTTTCATTTTCAATTGTCGAATAATATCCATTATCCACTAAAAATAACACTTTTGATCTCAAACCTTAACGAAAGATTCCATTCTTAAGAGATCATATGAGATGTTTATTTGAAACGCATAAAAGAATATCAAATTTGATTACAAGCATGAATGGGAAACTCACGTGGCGATTCAATCAACTGCCGAATCGAACAAATAAGTGTCTACAAAACACAATGTTCTTCGATCAGCAAATAAGAAGAGAGTTACTATGTAAGAGGTCAGGGGTCAAACTGATATAAATTAGAATCACCCATAAAAGCAGAAACACTGGGGAAATTTAGTTTTTGTTTAGACTTCTGTTCGTAAAGCCACGATCGTATTCTAATCTTATTTCCCTAAGATCTGATATCGTGATTACTGACATTCTTAAGAAATCATCATTTGACTTGAGTTCGCGTACACTCACTTTTTCCCCCTTCACTTATTGAACATTCTAATGTATTCAGAAAGTACCGCATCTTGAGGCGATATATTCACTAAAAATTGATCTTTCAAAAATTGCAAAGCGAAAGCATCCTATCCGTAAGGAGATTTGTTGGCTAAAAGTGAACTTTAAAAAAATAGTGAATAGAAAGCACTGAATTTTGAAGTGATTTATTTACTGAATTTGAGCTTTAAGGTAAAATTGTGAATCTTGAGACGATACAGTAGCTAAGTATCGACCGCATCTTGAGGCGAACACTTTTGAAATTTAAATACATTCCATTTCAGTTTTTCTTGCTACATTGCAGAAAAAGCGTACCTTACTAACTTTTCATTTGTATTCCTAGTGGTCTTAGTATTAATCTTTTTTTAAAAAACGTTTTTGAGTTTTTTTATTAATTTTCCTGATGAAGGTATCAGTGAGAGTTCGCGGGGAATGGTTTGCCGTTCCTTGCACCAAGACATCCACCACGGTGCGTATCCTAGGGGAGGAGGCACTGAAAAGATACCAAAAATTGAAGCCTCTTAGTTCTCATGTTTCTGGAAGAGAGGAGACGATCTATCAAATCCGCAAAACTAAAGGAGGAGCTCTCTTGGATCCTGATGATGAAGTGGGTTATGTTCTTGATGACAACGACTTCGTTTCAGTCGGTAAGTACGAACTAATACGAAATTTGTTATTTTAAAATGTTGCTCATGAAAGATGCTAAATATTTTTTCTTCATAAAACAAGAGTATACTCGCACATATATCATATTTGATACATTACCAACTTAGATAGCAAACTTGCCTTTCGGTACACTGTAAAAAGAATCCCGAAACATTTTCGAATACATGATGCAGCTACGAAGCATGTAGTTTATAGACACGTTTCTGGAAATTTCGGAGACCTCTTTCTGTACATTTCGATATATAAAATTATTTTTTGAGGATTTCGGATTCATTTTTTTTAATGTGAAGGGTATCTTAATTTTTCAGAAACCTCTTTCTGTAATTTTCAGAAATATTTTGAATAATTTCTGAATTCGGAATTTTTTATAGTATGAAGGGTTACCTCTGAGCATTCATAATATTTCGTACACCTTAAGAAACTAGCTCCAAATGAAATTACCGTTGAAATGTTTTATATAGTAGTAAATTAAAATGTAATATTAATGTTTTAGATAATTAACTAATGGTAACAAACTAAGTAGAGATAGTTAGATAATAAAGTAAGAGATAGTATAGTAAAGTAAGAGATAGAAAGAGAGATAGTAAGAGAATAAAATAGAGATTAAAAGAAATGTTTTAGTGGTAGCTAAACTACATTCTAAAACTGAATCGGCTTCAATGCGATTCAATTTCCTACTTTTAAAAATAAGTGTTTCTCAATTGATCGGAAACAAAATAAAATTAAATTAATGATAAATAATTAAAATGAAGTTCGCTGAGATTTTCGGGAATATTTTTGTCGAGTCAAAATTAGTTTCTAAAATTTTTTATAGTGTATTTAAAGTTGTAGTAAATTTTATACTTTATAGATGTTATTATTATTATTTTTTTGATTTGATAAATTTAATTTACATTAATTTTGATTACCGTGATACATAGATATTATAAACGGCTGTTGACATATTTACTTAAATTTTTTTTAAGTATTGCGATTTTTACTAGAAGGTTAAAAAGCAATTTAGTTTTCTCAATTTAATAAGAATATTAAGTTTAATAATGCAATTGTAATGCCCTATGCATTCAAAAAGTGTAAAGTCAGAGGTAGATTTTCATCGTTTTAGTTCTATCTCAACAGTGTTAGACATAAGTTAATAATTTAGTTGCATAATAATTGAATCTGAAAAAAAAAATCAAAACTGGATTTTTTTTTCTTTTTCTTTTGACTTGGTATAACACCCAAAAATATATTTGCTACTACTTTTAATTTTTTTTTATGCAATAAGTGCATCAACCATCTTTTTAAAGGGATGCTAGGAACAAGCGGGTTAGTTTAGTCAACTTTATTCAGAAAACCTACTGAATCGATTTTCAATTAGTTTTCTTTTATTTGAATCTACAGCTCTTTTTAATATACATGGTCGCTGAGGTTTCTTAAGTATAAAAACCTGACTTTTTAAATTTAAACCTAAGTAAGTTTTTGTCAAAAAATACTATAAACGTAAATAAAATTTGTTCAATAAGTTTTATTAAATTTATCACTTATTGATAAAAAATTTTATGTAAATTTTGTTCATTAACATATACATAAATAATTAATACTTAAATTATTCGCTCATTAATTAATTTTTCATACTTACAAATACAAAAGATACTGAATGTTAATACATCACAATTTTGAGGGACAAAGTAATCAAAAAATAATGAATTTTATTCTAAATTATTTAAAAAATATATATTTTAAGAACTAAAAACATTAAATTGTTTCATAAAATTTTAAAGTTGAAGTCGAACTAAAATGTTTTTGAAATAATTACAGTTTTGGAGACAGATAGACCAAATCCAGTTACTGCACCAGCTGAAATTCATTATGTACCTGAGCAAGTGTATCCTTTCTAACATTTTTATATCTTGTTTTTAACTTAAATAGGCTTTGAAAGTGTAGTTTTTTATTGCATTCTATGTAATTAAATCGAGTAAATCTCAATTATAATTTAAAAGCGTTATTTTAACAACATTGCATTTACGAGAAGGTAATTTTAAATCAAAATTAACATTTCAACCTTTCATTTATAAAGTAGTTACAATCCAAGATGAGAGCTTGGTGGTCACGTGTCAAGCCTAAAGCTGTAGCGTATTTATCTTTCAATTAACTGGTTATTGTAAAGGAATAACATAATAATTTATATTATAATAATTATGATATATTAAGATAATATGTATCATGATAAATCGATATTTTTAACATCCTAATAACAATTATTAATGATTTCATCATTATCGTGATATTTCTCCGATTCATCGTTAATATCATTACAGTAACGATCACAACAATATAATAATCATTACCATGAGTGATAAATATTTAAAATGATAATGTTACGAATATAGTTGTATACGATAATATCGCTATTATTTTCACCAACGATAAATACTGAATATAATATTATCATAATTTTTGTAATAATTTGAATAATTGTTGTATTTAAATTTAAATATTGCATTGAGTGCTGTATTAACATGAGTATTGATAAATTTAAATTAAGCAACAAAAATAGTAACCAAAGGGAAACGTTAAAGATGAGTTAAATTGAAAAATCATTACACTGCATCGTGTAAATATCTATATTCTTTGACAAAAGGCTGCGATACAAAATTGCAGCCATTATTCAGCCTTAGTTGATATATTACTATATTAAATCAAATTATCTTTATAAAAATTGCATATTCCTTGTTTAAATACACAGGCTGTTATCATATTACAGTGAATACGAATGTATCAATTATCTTAAATAAGTATTTAAAAAAAGGTCTACCCCATTTTTACAAAATATTATTGCACTAATACCCACAGACAAAATTCAAAATAGTTCAAAAAATAGATATAGGTGAAAAAATAGGAACTTTCTAATTACTGTCCTGCTACTAACACAGTCATATGTCATTTTCAGCAGGGATGCCAACTTCTCAACTCTGTTTAAGTTTTAATAAATTGGTTGCGAATTAAATAAGGTTAATTATGTTCACTCTTTAAAAGAGTCACCGCGTGATAAGTGCAATAAAGCTGATTTGATATGTTACTTAAAATTTTTGATATGTAGTGGTTAAAAAATTACTTAAAAAATGCTTAATTAAAAATAACTTAAATTGCATTACCACTATATTTATCTAGACATTAAGTTAGTATAAAATTGATTTTACAAAATTACTTTTTCTCCAATTTCCGAAAAATAAGCAGCCCTGATGCACGTAGTGAACTCTAGATATATTTTTCAACCACACTATCGTTTTGGCGGACATTTACCGTAAAAGTATTCAAAGTTTGGAACGAATTATTCTATACTTTTAAATGTGAACTTAAAAAAGGATTCCGTGAGATATGCTTTATTTTAACTTATAACTAAACAAAAAAAGTTTAAAATGTGTGTAAGAAATATATACATAATGTGGGTGAACAAAATTGAAGAGAATTAAAATATTTGAATGAATTTAAAACGTTAATCTTTAATATCGAATAAAGTTTGATTATCAATTTGTTTAAGTAGCAAATAAATATATTTTCACGTAAATTAGTTTTTCTTACAAATGTTTTAATTTTTTAATAAAATTTTGAGCAAATTACTTATATTAAAAAAAATGAAAAATGATTGGTAAACATATATAAAAGTGAGTTCAAATAATTAAATCAATACGTAATGGATCGTATAGAAATAAGATGCTCAAAAATGAGTTATAAATAATCATGAATGTTTTTAATATTTTTCATGCATATAAAATTTGCATTTTGTTGTTTATTAAGCCTTAATTTAACGCTCAGACCTGGAAAGTTCACAGCTCCCTCTGAAGTGAGTATTAAGTCATCATCAAATTTAAATTTACTCTTTTAAAAAAAGTTTTTAAAATAATAATAATCTTTTTCTTTTAGTATATAACTCTTGATGGCTACAACTTAGCACCAGAAGATCTATTAAAACTTGGAAAGGGGCTCTATAAAATAAGAGTAAGTTATATCTTTTATCAATTAAAAAATTGTGTGATTAGCGAGTTCATAACTAAGAATCATTACATTTTTAAAAAATTTTGTTTCTGTTTTTGGAATAAAAAAAATTGAGAAAAATAATCGAAATTTTCAATTACACTTATTTGCAATGTTTCAGAACATATTTTTAAAAAGAAAAATATTTAAATATTAACAACTGTTTACTGTTTTGACACATTTTTAAACATTATTTCGAGGGGGAAAATTACTAGAAAATTTTCTAGAAATACTAGTGATAATTTTAATATTTTTAAATTGTATATCTACGCAACCATATTATGTAAATTAAAAAAGAAACATATCACGATTTGATGCAATAGTTCATAGGGTTGCAAAAGTTCAAAAAAAAAAACGTTTAATAAAACTTTGAATGTTGTGAAGGATCTTTAAGAGTGGAAAACTTAGAATTCTCAAACTAATTTCCTTTTTAATTTTTAGCTGAGCGTGGATTCTCAAGAAAGAGTTACCCGTTCCAGAGGATTGCTAGAAACAATTTTAAAACAAAACAAAGTGGCATACGGTGTTAATACAGGATTCGGGAAATTTGCTAATACAGTTATTAGTGATGAAAAAATTATGTAAGTAGTTAAACATTTATTTTTTTCCTTCCAATTGTTGAAGTTAATGTTTAAATGTATATGATACCATAATATTTTTGATCCGTTCTTGAACAAGTTCTTTTAAAAGTATGGCAAGCAGAAATAACATATACAATTTTATCATTGATAAGTCTTACAAATTTACAAAAAATAGATTCATTTTTTTTTAAATTCGTTTCTTTAACATTTAGATATATGACAGCATATTTATTTATTGTTATGGATTCATATGCTATGCAGGCTTGTGTGCATCGTTTTAGTCCTTGTTCTCAACTTGAAGAACAGATAGCTTATTTTAATACATTACTTTAACATTTAGATGCTCTGGCGTGATATTTATTTATAGTTACGGGATGTACATGCCGGTTTGTGAGTTTGTGTATGTTTATTAGCCCTTATCAGGCACAAGTTAGCAGGGGTTTCCAACTTACATGAGGCCGGGGCCGCAATTAAAAACACCAATCAAATGCAGGGCTAAAGAGTCAAATGGCGGGTCGCAACTTTATCAAAATTTTACATAGGACTCTTTTATGTTTGAAGAAATATTCAATATTACAGTCAGATTTTTATCAAGTTGTACAAAACAAAAGTATTGAATTGCAAATAATACAAATATTTTCTTGAATGCAAAACCTGAGAAATAAATTTTTTTGCACCGTTGGTTTGTTAAATTTCGAAGAAATGAAAAAATTTGGTTTTTTTTAACGAAGGAAAAGTATTTTAAACCCATATAGATTTTTTACTAAAATTGTCCGCAAAAAATTACAACTAATATATTTTAGTTCGCGGGGCCATAAAGAAGTTTTCGGGGGGTAGGATGCGGTCCGCGGGCCGCCAGTTGGTAACCACTGAGTTAGAAGAACCATTTCACATAAATGCATCCAGAGTTAAGGCGTGATTTTAACCCATTTCACATATTTTCACAATAAAGAGTTTTTGGTGGAATAGCGAGACCGGCTCTATAAAATAGTTTAAAATTCTAACTCAGATATATTTTCTTTATGATTAACATGTAATAGTAGTCAAAAATGTGATATATATTGGCATTTTAGTTCATTTTTGCCCTCATTTTCTTAACCCCTTCGCGCCGACTGTCACAAATACGTGCCAGCATAAAACCGTATCAATCAGGATAAAAAGATAAAACTGGTAATCAAAGTAGTTCTTTTGCAGTTTATTTGTGGGAGGAGTTATAATTGTTTGATTTATTTAATTCACCATTACTTTGTTCAAAATAAAAACTATTTAGTTATACTTTGAATTAACATTGATTATATATATGATTAAACTAACAATAATTAAAGTAAAAGCAAAGTAAGTCTGTCAAATTCGCAACGCCTACATTTAAGTTACCATTTTTTATTTAATTACAAATTGATTCTGATTTTGTACGAATGCTTTTATGAATCACCCGTCCCCAAGGGGTTAAAAGTCATAAGGTTTATGGGAACCCTATTTTTATGACCTTTGTTTTCAAATTTAAATCGAACGTTTTTTTAATTTACTTTGAGAAACAGTTCAATTATCTACGAAAAATTTTTCGATTTAATAAATTTTGTTTCCAATCTCCTTCATTTCGTTCTCTCTTTTTGCAATTTTAACTATATTATTTTATTGAAAATTCGAAATTACTTTGAAAATTAAATTTAAACACTAGAGTTATCAAAATTTTAATCAGTTGTAAACATTTTATATGATATTAAATATTTTAGATGATTATTTTGTTATGTGTGGAACAAATCTAAATGAATAATGTGTGTAATTTCTGAATGAAAAATTGGAACTATCTAGATATAAATGTTTGTTTCTTGTTTTCTTTTTAGTGAACTTCAAGTAAATTTGATTAGATCACATTCTGCAGGTAAGTTTCGTGCAAATATTACCCAGAAAGTTATTAGTAAATATGTTTCAAATTAATTAAGTATATATTTAAATTGAAAATGAATAATTTAAAATTTGCGTAACAGGTGTTGGTCAACCGTTAAGTCCTGAAAAAACAAGAATGTTGATGGCCTTGCGCATTAATGTTCTGGCAAAAGGATACAGCGGAATATCTCTGGGTACTATCAAGCAAGTTGTTGATGCTTTCAATGGTTAGTTTTCACATAATCATACATAAAAAGTTTCAAAATATCAATCGCTAGTTAAAACTTTTTAACATTGGTTTTAAACAATAAAGTCGGTGAACTTCTTATTTTGAAGGTAGATCAAAATACGTCTAAGTAATATTCAAACATGTTTGAAAAATAGTTTTTGCTAAAAATGCGTGTTTAAGAAAATGGATATCACTATTTACAAAAAAATTAACATAACATTTGATTTGTAAATTTTTATCTGATGCTCAGTATAAGCTGTATAAGGCAGAGATGCCAACTGCTCCGGACACGGCAAAATAATTTATATAACTGTAAATAACTGCAAACAAAATTTTACAAATACTTGACTAATTTTGCCTGCTTTTTAAAGAGTATAGAGTGACATAACTATAAAAAGTAGTGAATTATATAAACCTACAAATAATTTAGAACTAATGGTAGATAAAAATCTAATAAATTGAATTTATTTAACCAAGAATCACAAGTAATAAGCTACCACTTAAAAATATTTATTCGCTAGAGCAAGTTGGTATCTCTGCATGAGGCCAGTGATCACATATGCCAGCCCGGCCTGAAATTGTCTGGTAATTGTCGTGATTTAACCGAAATAATAAAAATTGGTAGCTATGTTGATCCTCGTATATTTAATTTTATGTTAAGTATTGTATATTAAGTATTATACTAATTCACTTCCTTCTTACAGCGACATATTTTTTAAACTTCCTTGGTAAGAAACTTACCTTTCTTGGAAAATCACATCAAAAATCATTAATTTTATAAAAGTTAAAATTTTTTATTGCTACAATATTTATATATACATATTTTCTAGCTTCTTGTTTGCCATGGGTGCCAGAAAAAGGAACCGTTGGTGCCAGTGGAGACTTGGCACCTTTAGCTCATCTGGCCTTGGGTCTCATTGGGGAAGGCAAAATGTGGAGTCCAGAATCTGGATGGGGTGAAGCTAAATATGTAAGTACTATAACAACGTCCCTAAAATTAATGTTAATAGATATTTCTACTCTGTTATCTCGCAATGTGAAGCATAGCATGTTTTTTAAGTTAAATATCTTACTTCTTATAAATCTGGATATCAAAGTGCCATTTTTTAATTAATAAGTACTACTCTGTTATCTCGCATTGTGAAGCATAGCATGTTTTTTAAGTTAAATATCTTATTTCTTATAAATCTGGATATCAAAGTGCCATTTTTTAATTAATAAGTACTACTCTGTTATCTCGCATTGTGAAGCACAGCATGTTTTTTTAAGTTAAATATCTTACTTCTTATAAATCTGGATATCAAAGTGCCATTTTTTAATTAATAAGCATGCTAAGTGTCATAAGTAACAATGTACTCTTTGTAATGCGGTTACTGTTATAAAGAGAATCAAGCGACGTTTAATGGTTTATTTATTTATTAGCTATTAAAAAAGCGCTTTTTTATTATGTTATGTAATAACTATAGTAAAATTTGAGAGATAGTCCTCAAAATGCATACAAACACCAGGTAATTGTTTACGAAATTTTTTTTTATTAAAATATAATGCAGCCCTATAAATGAATGAATGATAGATAGAAACAATTAATATTCTATGCTTTCACCTAACTGAAACATAATTTTAAATCAGAAAAATTTGAGGTTTCTTATATTATCGCTTAACACTTTTCTGTCCCATTAAACTCTTAAAATTATTAAATCAAGTTACGTTAAAACCTACTTTATATTAAACAAAACAGTTTTATTTTATTATAACTTACTAACTTAAAACAAATGTTCTTCTATCATTTAGCTTAATAATAATAACAATTAATATAAAGTAACAAAACATAGTTATTTATGCATAAAAATAGTTCAAACATACTTTCCAAGCAAAATTATTCATTTCAATTCAAATGAGAGAAAAAAAATTCATTGTTATTATCTGAATCAAAATTATAATATATGAAATAAATATTACACGCAATTTTCTTTTTTACAGGTTCTTGAAAGTCATAATTTGAAGCCCATATCTCTTGGCGCTAAGGAGGTAAAATACAATCAGAAATATTTCTAAAAAATTGTACTTGACATTCAAACTTATTAGAAGAAGCAATAATCTTAATTTAGGTATGTTTTTATTATAGGGCATTGCTTTATTGAATGGAACACAACTCATCACTTCAATTGGCGCCGAAGGTAAATATAAATTCTTGCTTGTAGTGTTAAAACACGGGATATTATGGATTTAAAAAAATAATAAATTATTTCTTCTCACTCATTTCTTTTCATTTAAATAAAAAAATTATATTCTATAAACTTAACGCATACAAAAGAACAACACTTGAACAATTTTGTTTGAATAATTAACTATTGAGTTATAAAATATTCATTTTTGTGAAACTAAGCTGTTGAGAACTGATTTTCAAAGACCTGTATTTTCGATGTTCTATACGGGATTATTTTCAAATTCGACACACTTTTTAAGGGTCTTGGAAATATTTATAAGGGGTAAACAAAAAAGGATACAAAACATGATTATTTAATACAAGCTTGACCACCACTTTGTAGATCTAAATTAAAAACATCATAATCATCGCAAAAAGCAACAAACGCATAAAAAACTTAACGATAGCGAATTTCAATGCCTTCAAATATTAAATATATTATTGAGTAAGATTGTTTTTCGGTAATTGGTTCACTACCACTCGTGAAATTGATTCACGGTTCAAGTGAACGTTGGCAGGTATGCAATTTATTTAACTTACAGAAGCACTAAATATTTTAAAATATTTTCATTAACACAAGATTGCCTAAGGAAGTCGTTTTGACTGCTTTTAATTTCAATTAGAAAAACAATAATGTATAGAAGGACACAATTTCTTAGAATTTTGTACAAAACATAATTTTTTTATTGATAATATTTACTAATAACTTGTTACATAACTTTAAATAATTTAAAAAATATTAAAAATTAATTTTAAACAGATTTCTTTACACATTATTCATTCTTTTACAATCCGATTTTGATTGCTTTTGGGCAATATAGGTATATGGGTGATTCTCACGAAACATGACATTTCACAGATCTAATACTGTAATACTAAGAGAAATTTAAAAAAAAAAATTAATAAATAGCATTGCTGTTAGCATTTTAAAATGGCTTTGCACTAGCATTGACTGTTTTGTATACTTAAAAAATTTAACTGAATATCAAAATGTCATTTTCCTGGCATGTCCCAAACAATGTTTCCAATAATAACTAGCTTCAAAACTTCCCATACATTTTTCAAAATCTAATTTTTTTTGTCTTATCCTATGTAAGCATTTCTAGAATATACGCAGAGAGTATTGTTTACTAAAACTTGGTTTAAAATAATTTTTTCTGTCAATAATTTGCTTGTCCCATGAAAATCTGTCATTTTCCTGGCTACTTTTATTTAGTGATTTATAACCAAAATAGATAGCGCCAGGAATCAATAACTTATGCTAATATATTGATTAGATACCTTCCTATCTGAACATGTCCTGTTGCATGAATAAAGAACCAATTTTCTGGCTCAAAATCTATTTCAAAACATTTTTCAAGGTGAGTAGGTTTTTATGCTGTCCTTTTCCTGGCTTCTTGAAATCATTAATAACAAAAACAACATAGATTTATCTGAGTTATTTCAAGAAATACTGTTGTTTTCTGTTAAATATAAACGTCTTCGGCCAAAATATTAAATTAAAGTAAAGTTATATGCTATAAAATGGCGAATTTGTCATTATCCTGGGTGTCATTTTCCTGGCTTATGAATGCCAGGACATTGAAGTGTTACCAGAAATTCTTTTTAACTGCTAATACTGTAAAGAAGGAAAGCAAATATTAACCTAATACCAAGTTTATGTATGATTGTAATATGCTTGGATGTAATCAAAGTTATTTATTTATTTAATGATTGATTATTATACACAATTTTATTCTGTACATATCAGCAACAAAAA